GACACTGTAGGCTGCGACCAACAAGCTAGCTGAACCACTGTCACAGTTCTTCCAAAAATGATTTGATAAACATCAAGCCCCCTCCTGTGTGGAAGCGTGGCATTTTCACACCAAATTTTAAAGACGGTAGCCGTTCAGATCCTGCAAACTATCGTCTAGTGACTCTACTCCTTGTGCTCGGGAAGGTAATGGAAGCGTTCATAGCTGATGCTTTAATGGACTATTTGGAAAAATGTGTCACCTTTTACCGGAGCAGCATGACTTCCGTTAACACCGGTCATGCACCATCAACCTACTGATTGCACGAGGTAATTGGACGGAAGTGGCTGATGATGGGGTCGGAGTTGACGTCATCTGTCTGGACTTCTCCAAAGCTTTCGACCGCACGGATCACGGCATCCTACTTCACTGGCTACAGAGCTACGGAATCGAAGATCCTATACTTGGTGGGATTGGCAACTTTCCACCCACAGAAGTTTCAAACACGCGTTTGGTGATCACTCTGCAACCCGATTGAGGTGGCTTGTGGTGCTCCGAAAGGCTCAGTGCTGGGACCGCGCTTATTCCTGGTGTTTATCAACAATCTGGCAAGAGTTATCTCCTCAAATTTCCTGCTTTTCGCCAATGAAGTCAAGATATGGCGGGCTATTAGTAAAAATGAACATCACGATCTACTCGAATATTACCAAGATTACATTTCTGAATGGTCAACGAGGAACCTGCTTCAGTTAAACATAGCTAAGTGCAAGGTGATCCATCTGTGTCACAGCCGGTGAGTGATTGCAACTTTGGTGACCACGTCTTGGAGCAGGCCTCTCCGGAGCGTGACTTAGGTATATTGGTACAGAAAGATTTCGGGTGTTCAAAACAAGCAGAGAAGGCGATGAGGACCGGAAATCAACACTTCGGCTGGCTTGGCAGAGCCTTCGGTCTGTTTGAACCCTCAATCTTTACCCAAACGCTTAACGCCTACATGTGACCGCACGTGGAATTTACCATCCACACGTGGCAGCCGTGGCAGAACCAGGACCTCGTTGCTCTCGAGACTCCTAAACGTAGGGAAAGCAAGAACGTCAAGGGCCTTTTACATCTGCCCTATTAGCTTAGACTGAAATCTCTAAGGTGATACTGTAGTTGTTATCGACTTTTGGGGGGTTCCCATCATGGTTTACCAGGTTCTAAAAACCCAAACCACATTTGCCTTCCGCTGCTGAAATTGAACCAAAACACTAACATAAAAAGTCATCCTCTAAAAGTGAAAATACTATATAGCCGGCTTGAATGCCGTAGAAATTTCTTTTCCCTCCGCCTGTGCCAGCCTTGGAACGCCCACCCTTATTATGTCGTCTCTGCTCCCGATCTGGCGATATTTAAAAATTGAGTTGACGATACTTTGTCTCATTTGCTGTTCACTTTATGAATTGTTAGCCAGAGGCTACCACACACAATCAAGCGGTGTCTTACCAAACTCCCAAACAATGGATTTATAGATTTATACTTTTAATACGCGAACAGCCCCGCTATTCTACATAAGTCTATGCTGAGTCCAACAAAACGCTTTTCACTATCACGCAATCTACATTTCGCAATAATTTCAATCCCACGGGACTCGTTAAGCATTGCTTTCTTACTCGTAATACACCATTGTTCCATTGTTCCATTTGGCCGTGTGTCCGCGTGGCGTAAATGCATGTATATCAGCACCCCTTTTTAAATATTTAGGATTTTTTGTAAGCATTATTTATCGGCAAACAAGCTGTTTAGCCCATTTCATTATTCTACTTATTTCGAACATTGCACATTTATTTTTGTATAATTCAGCTAATTCATCATCGTCACTCCCAATCAGCAGGCTTAGGCTAGGCTGGAAAAGCACCAGACGCCGGCATCTCGACCTTCTGGGTCTCGTCAGTGGTGTGTCTCTCAGCGGACCCTTGCTGGGTTTTGCCCCCATGACTTCAGGATGCCTTCAGCTAGTACCACTTCGACATGGGTGACAGCCGCGGACCTACGTGACTGAGAGTAGACTACGATATAGCGGGGCTTAGCTTCCACTGCCATGCCAGTTACGAACTGTGCAGAGGACAATGTCGAGCCTCACGATCTAGGACTTTCCGCATAGCGCCTATGTACCAAATAGGACTTATTTTGTGACTCCAGTGACCCATTAGTATGATGCTTTGCATGGGTATGATGGTTAGCCTTTACGTGTCAATCCATCACCTCAGTCGATCAGCCAACAGGGAGAAATGGAAAAATATAAATAGTTCAAGGTAATTGAAATGGATTCTCCTACTCACGTGACTCCAAGGCGCTCAGTTCGGTTAGTAAGACACATCTTTTCAAAACGGTTCATCTTGAATAAGCTGACACATCGCAAATGATGCTAAATTTGATTTCCATCTCCACTGTTACAACTCGGTCCGTGCGGAACTACAACTCTCCGTGGAAAGCAATATTCGGCTAGTAGAGCAAGAGAGCGGAACGCTTCAGTTTTGGCAATTTACAGCTCGCCTTGTCTAGCACCAAACACAACGTTTCACACAATTTAAAGCAATTCAATCAATGGTTAATTTGTGTTAAGAATGGCACACACTGGCGCGGATGAGCCCAACTTTTAGGAAGCAGATGCCACAAAAGTCCAACATAAAAGGTCAGCACCTATTAGCTGATACGGTTTCTTAGTTAAGTCATGTTAGCAGCCGATATAAGTAAATGGATACGTAGTAGTGTCACCAAGATATACCTGAAACTTTCAAGCATTAATGGGTGGTTGCTTCATCGAGTTAATTTATGTTTCAGAACGAATAGATTAAAAATGTGGACAAATGCCATATTCCACATACCATTTCCTGGATACCTTTATACCGTTAAACATTGTGTGCTCAGGTAAAGTTAAGGCCACCACGGAATTCTAACAGTTTGCCCAAAATGGTTTAGAAAGCCACTGCCTGATCAATTTATTTCGTTTCTCCAGACCAGCGTGGAACCAACAGTTAGGATGCTTGACGTTTGTTGGAACAAGTGAGTTGTATAGTACATCCGTGTCACCTTCTCTCTCCTTTCTACATCGCTACGGCTGCACTCTGCTGATTATTTGTCTCACTGCAAATCTACATTTAGTCGGCTCAAATTTACACACTTCAATTCAGTAGTTAACTATTGCGCAGGAAGCCTGGCCTAGGGGCTAATCCTGCCCTCGGCAATGTTCCTTTTATATTTATTGTAGTGGACAGCAAGTCATGCAATATCGCAATAAGCATGATAGTCCTAACTGTCTGCCACCAACTTTTTAGCCCGCTGAGATAAGCGGACTATGTCAATAAGTCATGGTTTTGCTCAGTGGCGAAGCCGGTGATCCCACTACTGACGAGTCCCAATAGAACGAGTTTGCCCTCTAATGTTGCTCTGGAGGCGTGCGTGTTTTTCCTGGAGCCAACTGTGACGAAACATCTGTAAATTATTTGCCAATGTAAGCCATTATGCAAACCCTCGTACGGCGAATTAGATGCTGAGTTCTACCAAGCATTATTTCTACTTTTGTTTTGTTTACCGTGTTGTCTGCTTTGTGTTGGGCGACAACAGTATCATTCGGTTTCCTCAATTTTTCACGACAAGCTAAGCAACAAGCATACCAACTCAAAGGATGCACATTTATGCACGCTGATACAATCTAAGTTGACAAAAGTAACTAAGGCGTTACTTGGTGTACTCGACGACCACTGTTAGCTTTGCTATACAAAAACCTCCACTTTACACATAAAAACAGTTTCAAAATAGCCTACTAATCGAACAATCCGTGTGAAATTAAAAGCACCGTGTGGATCATCCCAAACTATCGTGTATTATTTAAACTCTTCATCCATCAATGGCTATCCACTTGAGGGTGTCCTCTCACACAAAAGAAGGCGCAAAAAGTGGATCCATCAAGATGGCCTATCGAAGGATCTCTGCATTATTGCATTGGGGAGTTTAAGGAGCCGTGTGCGGTAAATGTTAGTTAGGAGATTTATGTACATTTAACGAAATCAACTTAGTTTTCAATATCTATATGGACAAAGTGGTCAAGGTTCGCATGTTATTCTATGTAGTCGCCTTGCCATATTTGTATTGACCTCACTTTGTGGTATTATATTTTAGGCACCTACATATTCATACTGCCAAGGGAATGCAGGTTGATAGATTGGTACAATCTTTACGGTGATCTTAGTTAGATATCAACTTGGAAACTGGTGCGTTCGTCCCAGCTGAACTCATTTTCCGGAGTATTTCGCCGACTTTTACGGCTGATTAAGCCACAAAATTAATAATGCTCGGATTGTCATGCGGCATTAGTAAATACGACTTAGCCTAGTGAACTAGTAGACTTTTTGATCAGTACAAACAAAATGCACTTGTGTTATGCCACATACTATTTAAAGCTGGACGCTGCATACACTATCCAAACATCCGTGTGAATATAAGACACAGATAAGTATGAACCACGATAGCGCAGACATCTATAGACCGCGGAAGTAGCTTATGCTGCGAGGTACTTTAATGTGCTGAACTGATACGCAATGCTTATCCACTGATTGCTTAGCATCAGACAGCATGTTATGTGCGAGAATTAGTACCAGGTTGCGCAGTGATTAAAAGTAATTGCGCTATGTCAACCTCCACCACATTTTATTGGCCCTAAATATGACACTTGGCCAAAACTTTTTGAATACGCAAGTGACTCCGTTAATAGTGTTTTGATATACATCGCGTTAGAATACACTCCACAGTGTTAGGAGTATCTTTCTGATTACAAGCTGTCCAGGTTCCTCTAATCCAGCACCCACAATCTTCCCGAAGCAAATTTTGTGTCAGATTTCATGCTGGTTTACCACCCGGCTGACTCAGTCTGAAATATAGTCCCACTGATCCCCTTGCTATCGTGTCCTAATTTCGCTGTCACTTGTATCCATATAGAAAAGTAAGTGGAGTTTATAATCAGCAATATTTTTAGTGATGCCATGTTCAATTCACGACGTGGATGCATTCAAATGTGTGAAATTTTCGGGGAAACCATGGTTTTGATGAAACGATTGCGGGTGCGTAAGTTGCATGTCGGCGTCGGTAGTCGGGATAACAGTGTTGTGTTACGCTAGCCACTACATAATAATAAAATGTTTTATGGAACTGGGCACCATCACATCAGTAGACTGAGAATCGCCACCCTGATGCTGTATTTTTCGCCCATGCATTAGTCGTTTCTATGGTTATTGCTAATCATGAGTACATTACTTTCTGCCAGTGCGAACGGCTTAAGCGATACAACGTGTGCGGATTTACACTTAGCTGGGAATACAACACCTGATATATTATCTGTGTATTTGTGGACCATTGGAGCAGCATTTGCAAGGTGATTACCGGGGCTACTGCATTATTAGAGGAAACTAATCTAAAGCACTTTATCAAGGTTTAGAGCTGGCTTGTAGGAATAACTAATGCATGCACTGTTAAGATCAGTTCACCAGATTCTACTGTTCCTCCTACTGCACTTTAGCAACCATCTCTGATATTTCCCCTCCATATCATCCTGAGAGCTGTCAGTTTCCTACTCCAGATTTGCAGATTCGGCTGAAAGCATGAGCTTTACTTGCTTCTTGGCCATTTTAATACAATTACGGTTGCTCATATTGAAGACCATTACATTTGCGCTGTTCTTACACGATGCCTGGGAGGTGATATTATTACATGAATACTGTCACAGAGTTTCTTAGGAATCCATTAGATCCTTTTCTTGTTGGACATCCATGTAGAGCTAAAACAAGCATTGATCTGGTCTCTAAGTACATTGCTGTCTTTCCAGTACCATGAACGGGTGCTATCCAGGTGTGATGGAGATAAAGGACATTACACGGACTCGCTTCGTATGATAACTCCTCAATTTGCACGATGAACAATGGTTTTATATGGATTATGAAACACTGCTTTATAAGCCTAGTTGGGTAGTCTGGTGAGTTATTGAAAGGCGTTAGTGGAAATATGCAGTTAGTAGTTCTAACTGTCAAAAGAATGGATTTATCGTATCTCTTGTTGTAACCCTGCAATTCGAGTATTTCCATAACTTCAGTAGGCGAAACGGATAAACCCAAGGTAGTTCCATGGAGTAGGATGGAGGGTAGCGTCAAGTGGCGAAGTACGTCTTCCAACCGTTTTTCAAATATGGCTAACATAGGTGCAGTAACAACCGATTCGGGGAGGGCGTTCCATGGTTGACACTCACGAATAGGAAAGAAGTTTCTACAGCATGTCAGAAGTCTGTACCCTCCGTCTAATTTCAAGGCATGACGTTAATGCAGAGTTGCAGTAAAGAGTGGCGCACATGCTTTGGATTGTGTAAAATCCAACACGCCATAATCAAGTCGCCTAGTAGCCGGCGATACGTCAGCTGAATATTCCCAAAAGTTTCAGCCTCTGCTCATATGGAAAGTGACGCATTTCAATGACTTATTAAACAGCCTGAGCTTGAGGTTGGTCCAGTGCAGTAAGATTATGCTTTAGCCATGTTGCCAGGCTTGGATTGCGCACTCAATCTGGTAGCGAACCAGTGATGTAGCGACTAGATTTTTCACCCGGGGCGGACGTAAAATTGCGGCTACTCCCTGGCGGTTGTTAATCCGTAAACGTTCATAATTGCGGACATCCCTTAAATACTTTGTTTCATACAACAGAAAGCAAAGATCACATCTTAAAGGGCTGCCGTAAATTTAGGCATTTTTATGGTTACAGTACTCGTGATTTACAGATACACTTTTCGAGAGTTACTTAAGGCAGTAGTACTAGTAACCCAATCCAACTTCAAGTTCGTTAGCTATGTCGAGAATTACCAATTCCTGAGCCTTGTCCTGTTCAGTGATGATTGAAGGTAGATATTTATAAACTTGTGTTTTGAGAACGCGCTCTCACAGATGACAATGCTAATAGTTCGAGTACAAAACATGCGTAGCAGATTTCCCAAGGTGATATTGCTGTATAATGCTCAAAAGCCAAAAAGGTCCATTGATTTTGTGGTTTTCTGAAGCTTGTAAAAATGTAGCAATCTCTTTTCGGCAAAGAATTGCTCTCTTTTTATATCTTCGTCGACTTGCTTAAGCGGATACAAATACATATCATCAAGTAGATTTGACAAGGTAAGAAAAGCGTATTTTTCGCAATTTCATGAAGTTGATGAATATGGCATTTCATCAGTCATACACTTTCCGTTTCAACAACATCAAATCCCATCGAGATATCAAACAATTCTTCATTTTCCAATCGTTTGGTTTAGCGGATTCGACGCTTTATGCTTACCCCCAATTTCGAGTCGTGTTTTTATATTTATTTAATGCAATGTCCGCTATTTTTCCCCTATCTTAAATAAGGTGAATTCTTAACGCTGTAGGCTTGACAGAACTTCGCTGCAGATCCAGCCCAGTTGTTTAGACATAACTGTGCTTCCCTGATTTCTATGGGAACAGATCCCTAAACGCTCAGAAACAAACTGAACAGAAAAGATAATACCGAGGTCAGAATTATAGATGCAGCTGATGTTGTTGTTGCATTTCCTTTTCATTCCGTTAAATCTTTCAGCGAAGTTATGAATCCCAAGTATTTCTTCATCACAACATTTACAGCGCCTGTTTGATTATTCCATCTAGACTTTACAGCTACTTGATACTTAGACCGATGACTTGATTCGAGACATCCGAGCAATGTTTAGGTGAAAAATGGATGATAATAGTTGGTCCATGGTACCAAAAATGTAAGAGCAGCTTCAGGAACACAGAGAATGGTTAGTGCATGACACAAATGTAGCCTTGGGTTGATTTCCCAAATATCTCTGCATACCAGATCTATAGTCCGCCATAACAGCCGCATTGTTAAATGCATGGTCACGACAAGCATCAACCTGAATTCCAGATTTCGCCGATTCTCTCAGAACCAGTCCAGAAATGTCCACTGCCCCTTTGCTGTTGCTCTCAACAAAGCTGAGAAGCGACTGCTCTACCGTCACTTTTTATTCATCTGAGTTTGTGAGATACTTCGGAACTACTATCGAAATATTAGCAAACATACTTGCTTTCCTTGACTTGATCTATGATACTCTTTCTCATCTGCCTTACCAAATTACGCACGAATTCATTTTGAACTTGTGGCGACAGAGAAAAGGTGCTGTGTTTCCTTCCCAGCTGAACTGTCACCAAATGTTCACGAAGAACAGGCTCTAACTTGGCAAACAAATGTACAAATTCTGTTGGTTGTCTGATTGTTCGCTGAGCTCGGCAGGTTGACTGCAAACGTTTCGTCACCACTCGAGGTGACATCGCCAGTGAGCGTGTATTTAGCAGAGTGGCGCGTACGAAGCGTTAGTGAGTGTCTGACGCTTCTGCTAAATACACGCTCACAGACGATGTCACCTCGAGTGGTGACGAAACGTTTGCAGTCAACCTGCCGAGCTCAGCGAACAATCAGACAACCAACTGAACAACCTGAGCTACCAACATTTGCTTCTGTACAAATTCTGAAAAATGCCTTCTATCTTTTGGCCTTTTTTGTCACCTTAAATGTCCTCTCGGTGACCACACAGTGTCATGCTCTGCTTGGAGAGATACCTGGCGATATCAAGTATTCCATCTAAAATTTCACACCACTTATTTTCTATAACTACCTGCTCAACTGTGTCAAGTGCCTTTCCTTCAACTAGCCATATCGCTAGCGCTTCAAGGTTGAGGGATGAATAAGAACACGATTTACTAGATTCGTGTTTACATGTTTTGGATTTAGTTTGCACAAGTCAAAAATCTAGACCATCCTTTCTAAGATATACTGCAGCCGAAACCAAACAAGGCCTCTTTTGAAGAAAACTACATCATCAGTGTTAGCAATCTTTGCCCACCTTCTCAAAAATCCCGAAAAAATACAGTTCGTCGTTAGCATCTTAGCACAATCTTTGCATTGGTTTCAGGTAACACCACTTATTAAATCCATGATCAAAATGTTGGAAGACAGTAGATTCAAGACGGACAAGCATAGTAAGAAGTTCACGAAAAATCTTAACAGCTCACGGACAGACATCCATATGATCAGTCGATGTGCTTGTTATCTTGCAAAAGTTCGCTTGACTTTCCAAATCTTCAACTTCGCGCGCTTCCTCTGTCTTAGCCTTAAAACAATTTCCCGCTGCATCCATGCTGTCAATTTCGCTTTCTTTTGCCCGGATATCAACACTTGTAGTGCCAATTTCATCTTCGGTCTCAGTACGATTATCATCCTTTGCTTTTACTTCAGTCATGGAAGTAATTTTGATGCATTCACCATTGGTATTTATCGTATTCAAATACTTTGCATTGTTTTCTCACGATTCGTTTACTTTACTCACACTTCTATTTAGCACTCGCTGGTCTATCACGTGACCTTGCAGTTGATTGGTCTCAGTGCGAACCTCTATCGATTTAATTGTACTGCGTGTGTGTGCGGACAGTTTCCTCCATACATACTTTCCGGTGCTGCTCTGATCTGCTGCTTTTCGGGATACGACAAATTGGCGTCGCGCGTTACCGAAGGTTACCCCAAATGCATAACGCTGGGAAGAATGGAAAATTGATTTTTCAGATTATACTTCTGTGCTACCAGTTCGAAATCCATCCGTGACGCTGAAAACGGAAGATAATTTAAAGCTTTGGCGCTTGCACCGCGGTTCAGGGGTTAGACGTATATTTAATACTTCAAACTTGAGGGAGAGACTCACTTTGACAGAGGTCTTATCCGTCTTCGATAAACATTGGGGTGTTCGAGTGAACACCTATACTTCTCAGTACAACTTTTCGCAGCTGAAACAAGCATCTGGTGAATCCGTGGATGCATTCATTTCCCATCTTGTTTGTTCTGTTTGAAAGTTTGACAACAATAATATTCACGAGCAAAGAGTGGAATAAACCATGCTAATACAACAATTGCTTTCTACTCTCACGGATTCGTGGATCAGCGAGAGTCTCTTAATCGAGAACGCAGGAAAGCTCACATGGGACAGGGCCTGTAAAGTGGCTCCCCCGAAGGTCGCAGTCACGGAC